ATTGTTCCCCGCCCAATTGGGTATTTGTGGGCTCATACCCAGCCCCCGGGTAAGCGTGGTACCCACACACGGACCCGCCAAAATTTTCTTCGTGTAAATTGATAACTCAAGTACCTGCGAAACTGAAGGAATACAATTTTAAGAGGATATACCCCTTCCACCTAAGTTTCATTCAGCCCGAACCCAACTCTCAGTTATGCTTGGTAAACACGCATGGGCCCGTGAAAATTTTGTTTCAGTAAGTTGCTAACTTAGGTGCCAGGGAAGCTAGAAAGTTGAAATTTTGAAGGGAATGTTTTCTGACAGTTCTGGTGGCCAGACTTAATTTGTTTAGCTAGAAGCATTTGCCGAAAAAACCGGTGCCGACAGCAACAGAAACTGTGCGGAACCATGCAAAAAACGCATCTTTTCGCCGGCAGCCCGTGCGCTGGCCAATTTTTATTAATTTCTTAACACTGCTAGCTTTTTCTTCTTCCTATATTAAAAAATTTTATTCATTATGACTCACGTATGCTTCCTCCACGAATAATTTCATCTACAGATTGCAGTTGTTTTAAAGAACAGTGAAGAAACTAGAGAATGGAGAAGTAACCTCTTATGATAAAAAGTGTTCAAGCCGTTAAAATCGGATGGAAAGTCATCATAATGTTAGGTAATGAAAATTTTTAGTGGATTTGCGTTTTGCAGTAGATCAAATGCAGGAAGAATGGGGAAAAAGCACGGCAGGACGAAGCGGAGTTCGCCCTCAATTCACTGATCCCACTATTTTCATCTTTCACACCACTCGCCTCTTTGTTACTTTGGATCTGCTTTTTGCTGAAACCCGTCAGCTTAACCTGTTTTAAATTTTTTCTGTATAACTGTGGAGCATGAATACCTCCCAGTGTTGCCATCAACAGCTCTACCTATCCTCGGAATATGCTATGCTCTTGGAAATTTAATATATGCCCTCTCCGATTCGTTGTGTTTCGTACTAGCGCCCTTAATTTATCAAACGGCTGATTAAGGTAAGAAGACACGAATGGGATAATTATACTTGATTCTGCACAGAAACCTGTGTTTTACGAACTACGAACTATTTCGCACACTGTTCGGAACACTCGTTTTTATGCACTTTTTGTAGCTATGCAATGCAGAAAACGCATATTGACGAGAGGTTGTCTGTGTGTGTGTGTTTGTGTGTGTCTGTGTATGCGCTGCGCGTCTGTATCGATTTTTCGTCTCGAGAGCCACAAAAACTACGGGGCTGAAACTTAGGGAACTTAATCTACATGCATGTACGTGCTCCGAAATGAGCGCTATTACCCGCATGGTACCCATGTAAGGGCCCGTCTAAATTTTTTCCGGGTAAGTTGTTAACTTGGGAACCTGAAAAGCCAGAAGGCTGAAATTTTACCGTCCAAATAAATATTGATAAGTCCAAAACCAACTCTCGGGTACGCGTGGAACCCACGTACGGGCCCGTAAAGGTTTTCCTCGGGTAAACCGCTAACTCGGGGATCGGAAGATATAGAAAGCTGAAATTTTACGGGGACGCTCCCTGTCCACATAAGTCCTAATGAGCTTCAAACCAACCCCAGGTACGCGTGGCACCCAATAACGGGCTCGCCAACATTTTTTCGGATAAGTTGCTAACTCAGAGAACTGAAAAGATAGAAGGCTATAATTTTAAAAGGATGTTCCCTGTCCACATATGTCTCAATAAGCTCAAACTCAGACACCGGGTGTGCGTGGTATCCACGCACGGGCCCGTCAAAGCTTTTTTCGGGTACGTTGCTAACTTGGGAATCTGAGAAGCTAAAGAACTGGAATTTTAGGGGAGCGTTACCCATCCATGAAGGGTCAAATGAGTTCAAACCCGGCCCTCGGGTATGCGTGGTACCCACGTACGGGCTCGTGAAAGTTTTCTTCGAGTAAGTTGCTAACTGAGGAGCCAGGAAAGCTAGAAAGCTGAAATTTTAAGGGGGTGCTTGCTGGCATTTCTGGCGGCCAGTCTTAATTTGTTTAGCTAGAAGCATCTGCCGGAAAAGCCGCTGCCGGTAGCGACAAAAACTGCGGGGAACTATGCAAAAAACGCATCTTCGCGCGGGCAGCCCATGCATTGGCCAATTATTTAAAAATATTCTCCTGCGGCTGCGTTCACATACTAACAATTTGTATTTGTTGTTCTTACATTTTTAGCAAAAACGTCAAAAAAAGACGAATAAGGCCTATAGTTGAGTAGTAACCATGTGAGAGGGGGAGAAAAAGAATTTATTTTTAAGCCCATGCGGAATTATGCGGGTAAATCGTTACCAGCCGTATTGACGACGAAAAAAAGGAGAGAAGCAGCACAGTTTGCGCACCAAAGCTTTCAGTCTGCTTGAGTCGATGCGCATAAATAATAAATTCGTTCCAAAATTTTGTCAAACTTGTAAAATCATTAAAAGCTGCTTGATCAAAGTAAATACTAATGGTTTTATAAGTTTTCCGCAAAAACACTGCATTTACCTTAGTAGCATCAATCATACGACTGGTTGCCTGGGCTACCGAACGCGCAGCATCCAGCAAACGATCACGACTTTCCGGTGCACGATCCGCTTCCGCTTCCATTTGCTCAACAAGAAGACGACTATGACGTATTGCGCTCTCACCCTGTCGAACCATATCTTCTGTCGGTCCCTAAAGCTCGCATTGTTTGTTTATTTTGGAAAATTACTGGAATAAATTTACGAAAGGTAAAAAAAATTTCGATATTTGGAGCAATTTTTCAAAACCCATCTAGCTAGGAGTTCCTATAAATTTGGCTAAAATATTTAGCTGCTATTCCTCAAAACGATATTTAAAAAAGATTTAGGACAAAGAGATTTCACCCTTCCTGTCGCGCATCACCATTTTGCGTGACAGGATGAGGAAGTGAAAATCAAAGATCATGGGATTAAGTCGTATACGCGAAACAAAAAAAAAGCGATACAAAACATCGTATATGCGAAACAAAAAGCAACTGCGCAGCGATCTCAGGAAAAATTATGCGCATGCCTACTGGTGTCGAGGAAAAGCGCCTCGAATGGAAAAAAGAAAACAAAGGAAGCAAAAGCGATACATAAA